TATATATATATGTATATATATGTATGTATATATAGTCATAATCAAAATATTTTAAATTAATATGTACATTGTGTTCTTGACATTTTAAACTATTTCTTATTTCTTGGTAAATCTTGGTTTTTACTTTGAAAAAATTGAACAAATAGATCCTTAGAATAGCCTCAAATTCTGCGGACCGCTTCTCTGGAATTTGCTGAACCATTGTTGATGATCCGTATACTTATTACCGCTATTCTCCTCAAACTTCAATGCACATATAGCTCAAGCAGTAGAATTAGCACATATAGCTCAAACAGTAAAATTAGCATATATAGCTCAAGTTTAAATTATAATACAACATGACTGTCCAAATATTTGGATTTTCCATGTTCTACTCACTTTAAAATGAACTTAATAAAATAATAAACGATCACTAGTTTATATACCTACATCAATTTTAACTCAAAAGAAATGAAGACATGCACAATGTATATATAATATAATATCTGACGTATATTTAACCATAAATTTTTTTTTTCGTAAATAACAAAATCCGACATTTTGACCATCTTAATAATAGCTATATTGTTAAGAATGATCTTTTTTAATCTTTGCGAATACTAAAAAAAAGTAATATTTACTATTGTAACTGCATAATAAAATAATTAAAAGCTCCATTTTTATAGTTATTACTGCAATAATATTGTTTACTAATATTATAATAGTAATAACTATAAAAATAAAGCTCTTAATCACAATTATTTTATCATTCAAATTATAGATTTTATCATTCGCAAATATGAAGCTTATATTTCTTATCGCAAGTGTAGATTCTGTCTTAATGATGATGTTATTTGATATCGAACTTTCTGTAAAGCAAAAAAAATAGAAGATAGTATGCGAGCAAATAATTAGATCACCATCTTGTAAATTATTTTATGATACACGGATTGACGTCACAGCAATTTGTGCTGCATATTATCATAAAGCATAAATAAATTTTAGAATTTTTCATCATTGATCGCCTACGTACTGGTACTCAAAAAATGAGAGAAATCACGTGTCGCACTGCACAATTATCGCGAATACATGTCAATTATGTGCCAAGTATAATAAGCCTGGACAATAAAAAAACAAATCGCTCACATTAATAGCTGTGTAACAGTTTAAATAATATAAATACTATAAAAACGATCTTATCGATTAATTATACCACGAGCTATACTGTACACACACACACACACACACACACACACACACACACACACACACACACACACACACACACACACACACACACACACACAC